GAGAGAGAGAGAGAGAGAGAGAGAGGGAGAAATGGCGCCTCGATGCTGCGCTCACTGAGCCAGTGTTTGGAGCCGGCTAGAGAGATCCAGTAAGGGCAGACAAAAGGAAAAAAACATGGTGAACACGAGGAAAAGCTCGCGGACGGGTAGCGGCCCCTTCATCTCCTCCAGGACGCGGTCGTCGTCGAGAAACGAGAGGAGCTCTGAGGAACATGTAAGCCGGTTTCTTTTCTCTGCCGGGTCCGGCGAGCTAGCTGGCTCCGGCTAGTTGGCTAGCTAGCTGGTAGCCCGTGGCCTCAAGGTGCTCCGCCAAATGTGCTCTTTCGCGGCCGAACGCGAGCTCCGGCGACACTGACACCCGCTCGGCCACGCGGGGACACAACGGCAGAAGCAAACGCCGCGGTTCGTGTGCGTGTCACCGCCGCTGGACGTTTTGCACAGCTGTCAGATCGCGAGCTAGCGACGTGAACTCCTGGCTAGCTCCAAGTTGAGTTCCCTTTGTGTTTGGCAATTTTACCCGGCTGACTTGTTCCGCCGTTGCCGCCGCGAAATTAGCCTCCCGAATGAAGACAACTGGGATTTTGACACGGGGCTGCTAGCGCTGCTTCGTGTCGACCTCCCGGAGGTGTCGGCGTGTTTATTTTCTCAAAATGTGACGAGATAAAGCGTTGGAGGAGCTAGCGTTTGTAGGTTTGTGGAGCTAGCCCGACAGCTAGCTTACAGTGGGGGAAGGGAGTCCCAGGTTCACAACAGTTGGCTGGCTCCAGTCCCGTATTTAGCAAGTCTGAACTTGGTGAACTTTCTGTTGTAAATGCCCCAAAGACCGGTGTGGAGGCTGCTTTTACGATAAGCCTTTTTTAAAAAACACACAAACTCACTTTTATAACCGAATAATACATGTCTGCTTAAACAGTCGATCTGTAGTTTTCTACTCGGATCGTCTGACCTACAAGCAGCCTGACAGTCTTTGTCTCAAAATGTAAACATTGAGATTATGCAAGGCACCGTGTTCTGCATTTCCGCGTGATTTACGATTATTACAGCCCTCAACGCAAACTAACAATATAAATCACCGATCGGATAATTTATCGACAGTCATTAGCACATTTTTTTTGTAGTGTTAATGGGGTTGTTCGGGGAAAAGGAGGGGAGGAGGGTTGGCTTTTCATACTTTTGCAGAATTGTGGTGCAACAAATTCGAGTAATTTCTGGCCCAAGTCCAGTCCAGTGGATTGGAAGTCAGGCTAACTGGTGGCACATGATGATGGGGTGTCTGTGATTTGGTTCAAAACTTTAACAATTTGCAAAGATATTAACTTCATTTGCAAGACGTGTTTGGACACTGAGCCACCTACTGGTTTGCCCAGTTTGTTGTCAAAACTGATCAATGTTTTGTGACAAGACCTGGAGTTGTCCTTTTATTCTGATAATCGATCAATCAGTTCACTTATAAATTACTATTTTTATGATTAAGATTTAATTATTCAAGATAAAAATGTCTAAAATATCAGATGGAAGCTTCCTAAATGTAAATATTACTTCCTTCTTTTATCCAGTATAACGGTAGCGAGAATATTTTTTGGTTTTGGGACAAAAAGAAGACATTTGAGGACATCATTTTTGATTTTTGGGAAACACTGATTGGCAGTTCTGGCATTTCATAGATTAAACGACTATCTGATTAGCTGATAAAGTCATTGATAGATTCATTAATGCTGACAATAATAGTTGCAGCCTTGTTTCTAACAGTTTTTGCTAAATCACCTAAATGTGGAAATGAATCCAAGATACACCCGCAGCCCTACCTTTGTGCGTAAACTACAACCGTTAATTGATTAGTTATTAACTGTTAACTAAGCCATTGACTGTTCTGATAATCGATTAAGCGGTTTGAGTAATCGTCTCATTCCAGCTCTTTAAACGTGAATATTTCTTCCTCTGTGACAGTAAACTGGATGTCTTTGGATTGTGGACTAAACAAGACACTTGAGGATGTTTTTATGGGCTCTGGGAAACACTAACTGACCCTTTTCTGACATTTTATGTACCAAACAACCGATCGTTTAATCGAAACAATAACTGACAGTGAAAATAATCATTATTCGCAGCGATGTTTGTGACACTGTTTGCAGCTAGACCTAAATAAGAAAATGACTTGATGGTGCATTCTTTAAGTCACCTTTGTGCATTTGCTCGCTGTTAGAACATCCTGCACTTTTCAGTCTGGCTGCATCCATCTACCCAGCCAGTCAGACAAACCCCTCTGCCGGCGTTGCAGACAGTTGCCTATGACAACAGTGAGATATGCTCCTCATATCAGCGGGGAAGTTAAGCTGTGAAGGGCACGCGCATCAAGGACATATGTCTGCTTGGTGCCGTGTTGTGATTTAGAGAATTCACGGAACAATTGGGTACAAGGTGTCTTGTCTCATTATATTCCTTTTTTTTCCCCCTCCTCCGGTTTTGCCATGTGGAGTTCCTGCTTTGTTCTGCTTTTAAAATCTTTGATGTCGTGGGTTTGATTTTCACTTAATATTCCGGTGTTGCGCGCTGATTGACAGCGTGAATTTTTATGCAGACGTTCGCGATACGCCGTCATTGTATTTGGCATCCGCTCTCGCTCTTGTTCCCCGCGTGTTCTGATTGTTTGTCGCTCGTGCGTTCTCCCTTCTCTGAAGTTGTGCTGTTGCGTGCGTTTGTTCAACAGAAGGAACCCAGCAGTGATGCGAGCAGTCCCAGCAGCCCGCGGTTGGCGCCCCCTTCCAAGCGAACACGGCGGCAGGCAGCCTCTGAGCCAAGCTCCAGCGATACCTCCCCATCACCTCAGACTAAGGGCCAGAGGGTCAGCTGGGACATTCCCACCTACCGCACCAGGTCAGCTGTTTGTGTTCGCTTTTATTTAATTCCAGAGTATTCCCAAATTATGCATGGAAACTGTGTGTGAAGTTGTATTCTTATAAGTTTGTAGAAGGAAAAAGTTTGACTGGAGTTGGTTTAAATGACCTTGTTGTCACTTGCTGCCACGTGACGACAAGGTCATCAGTGGGTCAAACAGGCATGAACGCGGGTTTTTAAATAGTATGTGTGATTCATTGTCGGCTTCTGTGCAGATTTCATTCATGTTTTCACATTTGTTCTCTTGTATTTGTAGGCTTTCCTCGCGCATCATGCAAAATGGGCACGGTAAAGCCACTCTTCAGTTCGTACATATATTTTTTTAAAACCATGTGAATTTGGCCAGAATTAGCATTAAATGTCTATTTTATGTTTTGCTCATGCTCCAGCTCACATGAGTCACCGGAATGAGGAGAGCGGAGGGGGAGATCACTCTCGTATGAACGGCCATGTGGAGCTGAAGAGGAGCTGCCGGGTGAAGAAGAGCCAATTTGAACACCTCAATCAGAGCCTGCTGTTTGACCAGCTGGTCAACAGGTACATAATACTGACATCTTTCTTTTTGAAATGCTGCTTTGAAGAGAGGAGAGGCAGGAAGCGGCAATGACCAAGTCAGCTGGAACGTACTGTATTCAGTTTGTGGAGGAAGGTCACTCCTTGTACTTGGGAAAAGTGTAAGAAATTCAGAAAGTTATTCCATCCATCCATCTTCTCCCACTTATCCGGAGTCGGGTCGCAGAGGCAGCAGCCTTAGCAAAGCCGCCCAGACTTCCCGATCCGCACACACCTCCCCCAGCCCTTCCGGGGGGACCCCTAGGCGTTCCCAGGCCAGTTGGGAGACATAGTCCCTCCAGCATGTCCTGGGTCTTCCCCGAGGTCTCCTCCCGGTGCTCCCCCTTCGAACTGCCACCTTATCGTGGTGGGGGAGTTTGTGTGCCCAAATGATCCTAGAAGCTATGTTGTCCGGGGTTTCATGCCCCTGGTAGGGTCACCCATGGCAAACAGGTTCTAGGTGACGGGACAGACAAAGGCCAGTTCCAAAACCCCTATGATAAAGAAAAAATCAAGGACCGTGACGTCGCCCGGTATGGCGCAGCCGGGGCCCCACCCTGGAGCCAGGCCTGGGGTTGGGGCTCGTATGCAAGCGCCTGGTGGTCGGGCCTTTGCCCACGGGGCCCGGCCGGGCTCAGCCCGAAAGGACGACGTGGGCCCGCCCTCCTGTGGACTCACCGCCCGCAGAGGGAGTCATAGGGGTCGTGTGCAAAGAGGACTGGGTGGTGGTCGAGGGGGGCTGCCTAAACGGCCTGGTCCGCGTACACAGCCTTAGAAAGTTCTTGTTTTAATAAATATTATTTGGCTTCTAGAAGTTGTTTGATTTGAGCTTAGTGTTCCGAGGGAAAAAAGAAACTGTCAAATGCAAAGATTTCCATTGGTTGCACCGCTGTGTCTGACGGGTCTGTTTGGGTGTCGCTGATGGATGAAGACATTAGAATGCCTGATTCTTTTTAAACTAAGTTTTGGTGTTGTGCTGCAGTGACTGAGTGGAGCCCAGAGGCTTCTCTGTGCACAGCCGCCCTGCTGGCGTCTCCCGATGCATGTGAGGTTCTGTGAACCGCAGCTTCCACCAGCAGTCTGCCTGTGAGGTGTTCAAGCACATCTGTAAATTGCAGCTTCAGAGCATGAGCTTGGTTACACTCTTCCTCCTTCCAAACTGCGGGAGTCCCTACATCAGTCACCCACCACCGCAACTAAATTCTCTTCCTGTGGGAAACACTGCGATATTATGAACCGGCTTACATAATGCATTGTTATTTATTGCAAAGAGTCGCAGGAAACAAAGCTTTTGCTGACAGACAATCGATGTCCCGAAGAGCAGAGCAGCCCCGCTACCTGCAGTGTTTGATCAACAGGCAGCGGCGAACTGAAGCAGCGAGGAGAATGTTGTTTGGTAGTGCTGATAATATAGCTGGAAAAGAGCTGCCTTTGACTAACTTAAGCCCCAGATAAGGAAAAGAAAGCATTTAGTGGCACCTTTATTACCATTTACATAACGTGTTGAGAAATTAGCAATGTGTGTGTAAACTGACAGTAAAGGTCACACGATGCACCTCAATGAAAAAGTTCAGCACACAGGTGTGGTGTGGTGCTGGGATTCTGGGATTCTGAGGTGCCTTAAAATAGACATATTTGTATTTTCTTTTACATGTTTGTTGAGCAGTGCAAATCATCTGTTCACAAACTGCAGGATACACCTTCAAACTAGAGCCAAGAATCAACAGTGTCTTTAAGATGCTCGAGTTGAGAGATGACACAACAATACCTGACTGTCCAGACTGCACTGTGCACTGATCACGAGCCCCTCCCTTCCTCTCGTTGCGCTTTTTTTGTAAAACCGCCTCCTCTGTGTCACGTTCCGTGCAGCACCGCCGAGGCTGTTCTCCAGGAGATGGACAACATCAGCAGCATCAGGCAGAACCGGGAGGTGGAGCGACTTCGCATGTGGACCGGAGAGACCGAGGAGGTGAGCGTGGCGCCGCTGCCAACACTCAGCCCAGAGCTTTGAAAGTAACCTGATGATGGGAGGGGGAACGCATGTGATGACCTCCAGGATCTGCTCTTTCAGGAAAACATGGACATGTACTCCCGGGTGAAACGCAGGAAGTCCATGCGCAGGAGCACGTTTAACATGCCGACGCACCACAAGGTCTTGAGCAAAACGGAGCAGGAGGAGGAAGAGGAGGAAGGGACGGAAGGTGAGAATGAAATGGATTTAACTGAGTTAATAAAAACTTTCAAAATGTTTCCTTACTGTACTTCGGTGGAATACTTAAAATGGCACTTTTAAAACTTTCAGAATCTCACGGTGAGGAAGAGGAGGAGGACGCAGAGGATGACGATGAAGATGATGAAGGAGATGAAGCAGAGGAAGTAGGAGAGGAAAACGACAGGCCGTACAACCTGAGGCAGCGGAAGACGGTGCAGCGATACGAGGCACCGCCGATTGGTAATCACAGTTTATTTCCCCCTAAACAAACCCTGCATCTCAAAGTGGCTTATCTGTGTTTCTATAGGTATGTCGTCCCATTTGTTCAGCGGGTTTTCTCTCAGTTTAATCGCATTTTAAACCAATTTCAGAGACTTGTTGTGCAGCCACCGCTCATGTTGTTGTTGTTTGCCTCCTCAGAGCCCGTGAACAGAAAACAGAGCAACCCCTCGCTGTTCGACACCCACAGATCCCCGGCAAGGAGAAGCCATATAAGGTGGGCACAAGTTTGTGGGAAAAAAAATCCCAAATCTGACGCCAAACGTGTTACAATGTGTCACTCTTTAGCAGCTTGTCAGCGGTGTGACTAATCAACTCAGAGCCGTGGTTATAAAAAGATTAAGGGACAGTAGTGTTGCGGCGCTCAATCTAAATCATCTCGTTTCTCCAGAGTGAAGAAGCACGCCATCCACAGCAGCGACACCACCTCGTCTTCTGATGAAGAGCGATTCGAGCGGAGGAAAAGCAAGAGCATGACTCGGGCGAGGAACAGGTGTCGGCCGCCGCCGCTTTTCTTTCCCTCGACCTTTTACCTCCCTCAGTTCTGCTGTGGTTTTTATAAGCGCTAAAGAATAATTGAGACGTGCAACTGTTCGGGGTTAGCAGCTACGGCCATTGTGTTCATAAAACCTGCCGTCCGGCTGCATCCGACAAGTAATTTCAGTTCTTCTTCAATCATCTCACAAGCACTTCGGAGGGAATATATCGGCCCCTTAAGTGTTCGTACAACTCGGATGTAATTACTTACCACAGTTTCATTTGTTTCAATAGATGTTTGCCCATGAACTTGACTGCGGAAGACCTGGCGAGCGGAGTGCTGCGCGATCGGGTGAAAGTGGGCGCAAGCTTGGCTGATGTGGACCCCATGAACCTCGACAACTCGGTGAGTGGAAATACTCAGAAAAAGGGTCATTCGGTGCCGTCTCGCCGAACCCTCTCGGTTCATGTGGTGGATTCTCTTGAAAAATTAATGTGAAAACGTCTATTAAGTTCACGACACTTGAAAAGTCCCACAGCTCCTCTCCAGATTAGTTACGAGTTTTTGAAGTTTTGGCCCTCCGAGCTACATTTCATCATTTTTTTTGTCATTGTTTTCTAAACCTCACCGAGCACTTATTTTTCAACGGATTGGGTCGAAATTTTTCATCCGTGAAACCCTGAGCAGCAGTTGGGCTGCTGAAGGTTTCGCAAGTCATCAAATTAGTGACTAATGATGTTCCGCTCGAGCCAAACGCCTTCAAACTTAACCAGTTTTCACTTTCTTTTAATTCTGTGTAATATAGATCTGTCATATATTTTTTTTAGTAGTGTATAAAAATAGCTGCTCAGAAAGTTCTTGTTGAGATATTTTGACTCAATATTTTAAGAGTTGTGTGTATGTATACGGAGCTATTTTAAGATCCTTTTTTTATGTGGCTGTGTTAATATTCATTGCAGACATATAAAATATTGAAAGATGTATTATTCTGTCATCATTTCATCATTTTTTGGATTGTTTTATACTTTTTACTAGCTGTAATATTATGTTCAGCAGTTTTATATCATAGGTAAGTAATGCTTTAATAAAACTTCTACATCTGTTAGTTTTTGTTCATCCTTTCGTAAGACATGCTTGTGTACAGTAAATAATTCAGTGATGCAGTAAAACAGCTCTTTCTGTTTTTTATTTCGTATCTGCAATGAATATTAACCGTCACCTACTGTAACTTTAATAACAAACATAAAGCAGAATTATCTCCTGCTTCAAGGAAAAGTATTTGGAGTCAAGTTTTAGGATTTTTACAAGGTCTTATGTGCTTAGCAGAAGTTTTCACATGAATTTTCCTCTAGAAAATCCATGACATGAGCTGGGAGGGTTTGGTTCGTTGGGATGACTCAAAAGCTGCACAGCAGCACAGTCGTAGTCTCAGTTCTGGGAAGGGCTCAAACTTCATGAGTCACAACTAAAATTAACTCCTTGAATAGAGTGTTTAAACTCCCAATGAGTTTTGTCATGATTCAGAAACATTTCTGGGCTTGAAGGTCTTTCAGAAATCCTCATGGCTTAACTTGTGTGTGTGCGTCTGCTCTCCTCAGGTGAAGTTTGACAGTGTGGGCGGCCTCAGTAATCACATCCAGTCACTGAAGGAGATGGTTGTGTTCCCTCTGCTTTATCCCGAGATCTTTGAGAAGTTCAAGATTCAGCCTCCCAGGTGAGACGAACTCACTCGTGACAAAATATCATTCAACTTGATTTTCATTTATGCTGTGTTTAAACAAGTAGTGCACTCTCACATCCACTTCCATGATCACATTATGTTTGTGATCGTCCTGCACAGGTGTAGAGTAACTCACATGCTGCATCCCATAATAAAACAGAAGTACTCACTAGCTGACTTGTAGGTGTAAACAAGTTAGTTAAGGGCAGACAAAGAGCATTATAACCATTTGAAATAATCATCATCAAATATTCTTGTTAAACTGGTGGAATATTCCTTTATGCAGGAACATTTGACAAACTGAGCTGAATTTAAAAAGCGATGCACTTTGCGATTATCCAACAATCTCTGGTCTCTTTTAGAGGGTGTTTGTTCTACGGCCCACCAGGGACGGGAAAGACTTTGGTTGCACGGGCGCTCGCCAACGAGTGCAGCCAGGGAGACAGGAAGGTTTCCTTCTTCATGAGGAAAGGAGCCGACTGCCTCAGCAAGTGGGTCGGAGAATCGGAACGGCAGCTACGCCTGCTCTTTGACCAGGTGAGTCGATGGGGCAGTTGTTGGACTGAAAACATCACTGACGCTTCGTTCACTTGACCTGAGTAGATATGTGACTGTTTTCAGTTTTTGTATCTCTTGTGGGATGGATGTTGTAACGTAATACACATCATATTGACTTTTTTTGGGGTGAAAACTTATGACTTCAGTATAAGTGAAACACAGAAGTGAAGCCCAGAAAATTGTGATGTAGTTTTTCCACTGAGTGTGATGCTTTGTCTGGGGGTAGAATTTGACTTTCGTCTTTCATCCAGGCTTACCTGATGAGACCATCCATTATTTTCTTTGATGAGATTGATGGTTTGGCTCCTGTTCGCTCCAGCAGGCAAGACCAGATACACAGGTAAGGCTACTGAGGCTTTATCTCTTATATCAAAGTGGTACAAACCTGCACTTCTATGTGTGGCTGATCTGACAGTCTTGTATAATTTAATCCGTTTTTCCAAGAAATCACACGGATGGTGTCACTAAAGATGTTCTATGTTGGTGTTTTGTTTCCGAAGCTTGGTCGCTGTTAGCCAGGTAGCTCTGGCTCTTCTGGTGTCAGGTATCCCACCTGCAGGTTTAGTTGCTGCTCTGGCAACCCTCAGTGTCATTCAGCTGCTTCCCCAGTTAGTCTCTTGTCCCACAAGTGTACTACAGCTTCAACGTTGTGGACTCCAGTGGGCGACAGTATTTCTTGTTCTTGCTTGCGCTTGATCTCTCCACCCAGAACCTGCAGCAGGTTTAGAACTAGTAGGTTGCCCTAAAATCTGCCTGTGACAAGATAACCAACTACTGTCACCAGCTGCAGACCAGGACGGTGAAGCTGGAAACTGTCTGCAGGATGACAGACTCTCTTAAGAGGCAGCTGAATGACATACACGAGCATCACAACAGCAACTGGCCAGCCGGAAGCGGGGCTAGCTCGTTGGTAGCAAGTGAACTTTCAGTGATGAAGATGTGAATGACTACTTCAGTTCTTCTGCTGCTAAAATTCAAGCGACAGCAGGATCCAGAGGTTTGGGAGTTGCAGCCGTGTGCATACGGAGAGACTTGAGATCCAGATTGTGGACTGGGGTTCTGCCACAAATGTTCGATTGGCCACTCCTGCTCCCTACCACACTCTGAGCACGCCACAGGAACGTTTAGTTTTTGTCACGTGTTTGTGATCATCAGTAGAAATGAAACCTCATTAACTTAACCAACTGTAACCCATGAATTTATCCTCTAGGTTCCTTCTTAGACATGCACCTAACTGGCAAACTAAAACAAAACCCATCCTGCTGTACGAACACACTGCATCAGCTCCTACTCTGCCACATGCTGCCGTATCTACATGTGCGGTTCTAAATCACTGCTGCTGTTATCTCGCTTGCCAACAGGTGGTGCAGGTTTGCTGGAGCTAGACTTCCAAAACTGCTGGCACTGCAGCTTTGATTGTAAATGAATTTACAGCCAAATGTGTATTTGGCTGCTTTACATCCGTAACACTTGAGACTTGAGACCGTTTACATTTTGCGTTCATTTAGGATCGGGTAGCAGTTGTAATGGAAATCAAAAGACTTCTCACTTCGGATTTAGACCGTTTAAATATGAACTGTGGGTGAGGATGTATCGTATTATGCAAACGCAGCCCCGCAGTTTGTGCTTGCTAAAATAATTACCATCGAGAAAATTGAATATTTGTATGTGAAGTAATTATGGACCACAGTTTGTTCAGAGCAGAAAAAAGTGCATATGCTTATAGATGTTCTTCTCTTGCTGCCATGCTGGGTAAACACATGCATGGAGCTTTAGTCTGTGTGCTGTTTGCAGAAAGAAGGCCTTGATTATTTGGTCCTGTCTGTTTCACTTTAAAACAGTGTTTGGGCTCTTGAATGCTTGTGTGTGTTTTTTGCAACACTGTGTGGATTCCGTTGTTTTCCATCTTGCAGTAAAGTCAGACAGTTTATGTTTAGCTGAATGCTAAATATCACGAGTTACATCCTGTCACACCTTCTCCTTCTCTCTGGCCAGTTCTATTGTGTCCACTCTGCTGGCCTTGATGGATGGCTTGGACAGTCGTGGGGAGATAGTGGTCATTGGTGCTACAAACAGACTTGACTCTATCGACCCGGCACTCAGGAGGCCTGGACGCTTTGACCGGGAGTTTCTGTTCAGCCTGCCCGACAAGAAGGTGAGACGGGGAAACGTCAATATTGTGTACAGTGGGCATTATTGCCTTAACATCAAGCTTTGTTTTCGCCGTGCTTAGAAGCTCTTTTTTATGTCATTTTCGTCGTTATCCTTTTGATTTTACACCAAAATTTAAGCGCACTTTTCCCTTAAATGCTGCAGAAATAATAACGTACTCTGCTCTAAATCAGGAACACACATCCAACTGGAGACACAAAATAAAACAGAAATAATTACTCCTTTACTCATCAGTCCTGTGTCTAAATTAGCAACATTAGCACATGCTTCCCTCTGGCTTTTAAGCTTTTTCTTTTTACCTCCCTGTTGGATGTTTTGAGTCCAGAAGCTGTTTTTTTTCCTCTGCTGTCCCTTAAACTGTGTTACATGTGAGCAAATGTGACGGGGAGTCAGATAAACAGCTCAGTGTAGGTGACTCCTCCCCATCGAGCCTGCCTAATGGGTCGCCTTGCATCGTTTGTCCACACAGCGGGATCATTGGTAATCAAAGCCTAATCTGCAGGCCGTTGCCGGCTGCTCACCAGTAGCGAGCTCTGACTGATTAAAAGTCCCTCTCCGGTCATTGATTTAACCCCTAAAAACTCCCCTCTGTGTATCAAAGTTACACATTTAGAAGTTTTTACCAACCGAAATCATCTCTTCCTCCCTTATGATGCCTCAGATGGAACTGCACATCTACGGCTTCTTCCCTCAAATGTGCAGATCTGTGAAGCTGCTGCTGAACCTCCCTGCTGGAAAAATACTAAAAAGTCATGTCTATGTATGAAAGTTGCATTTTATTTTCCACAAAAAGGATCCTTGTCC